CTTTCCAGAGACATCACCATCAGTGTGAGAGGAGAAATCACAGTTGTGAGACTGGCTAACATGGTGAGAACACCACACACAGGATACATGAGTTTTACTCTACAAGCAGCCAGTAGGTAGAGTAACTGGCTCTGAGCCATTAACACTGTGTCTGCAAAAAGGAGGTTATACAGAAGAATGTAACGGGGAGTCACATGAAACACAGATTTACTCCGCAAGGTGAACAACAGGGTGCCATTAATGAAGAGAAAGACACAGCATGGTACTGTAGTCAGAATGGAAAACAATACTATTCCCATGAGCCCATGATACTGCAGTCCAATATTGATGTTTGTCTGAGAGTGATTTGCATATGACATCTTAGACCAAAACTTGAGGCATTAAAGATGTCTTGTTAATGTAATTGGAGCACAAAAGCACAATGCATCCTATCCAGTTTGTATTCCTTAAATTCAAAATCACATACAATCTAACAGCAGGTTAGATACCATGCTTGTTACCCTGCAGGCAGATCTGTTCTGCAAGGTTTCCCAACTGTCCCAAAATGTTTATAAGCTCTGTCCTCAAACCAAGTTCACGTGATTCCATCTCATCACCCCACATACTGGAAATGAAGGCTGTCCAGTTCAGATCCAAAGTGACACTCCTTTCTTCATCCATTTTGGTTTAATGTGGAGCTTTGCTGTGTAGGTATATCTATACTATCTACTACTATAGTCATGTATTAGTGTAAATATATTTATTACGTACAGTCCATACTTGTACAGTACAACTTCTTTTGATCACTTTCCCCAGCTACGTCTCCCTGGGGACCACATTACTGTCCCAGGCCCATCTTTTCTGAGTTTGACATGCCATGACCTCAATCAAGTGAAATCCAGGAGGAATCCATATCAGATCAGAACCCAACTGGTTCTTTTCTACTCAAATGAGCAGTGGTCCTACTCATAACTCCTTCCAAAGGTCTGAATTCCTCACCCATCTCCTCACCCAGCTGCTGTTACTGTTGTTCAGTCACTATCATATCTAATGACTATAAGTTATGTTTATGCTCTCTCAGATCTACTTAGATATGGAGTCTGACCAGTCTAAAATGAAGTGTCTCTACCTGGGGCCTTATTTATAAAAGTGATTGCCAACACACAAACATCTACTCAACTTCCCATGGAAAAGTTGAGGTTTACAAGAATGAAGTTGACTGATGAATGTGCGTACCTGTACGGAAACTCTGACATTTACGAACATTTTTGAGACTGGGGAAATTGGCAACACAGATGATAAAGTAGTGAACTGAAGCCAGATTTTACAATGACCTTTCACAAGTTCAATTTCACTTCGATTATAATTTGTTTTCAGATTGTAAATTGTACCATGCTGTCAAGGGCACCAGGGTCACAGAGCAGACTGGAGACCCTGACACCTCTCCACCACCACTAGTGCTGAGCTTCGGTGTCTCTGTGCCTCCACTGGCCAGGCAAAACGCTGATAATGTGCAGCAAAGTGTTTAAGGTGTTTCACCTGACAGATTCATGGCCTTGAAGTGTTCCAATTAGCATGAATGAGATTTTCTGAAACTTATTAATGTATAATTACTTGTAATTACAAATACTTTATATTACAGTGTAAAGTATTCTTTACTCTATGCACCAGGGAGAATAAACAGTGGCTGTGGAGATGAGATGTTCCTCTCTGTTGCAACCCAACTTAGGACTCAGAAAATACCTTAATTCTTTCATCAAGATCTTGTCAAGTGCAGCTTGAAATGGGTAAGCACAGTCTGACTTGCAAGTTTTAGGTTCAGACATTGGAGTTAAGTTTAAGTTAAGTTTTCTTTGTTTACAATTGACCTTGTTTGTGCTTGGTAAACTTTGTTTCCACAGAGGTGCACATCATTACCTCTGCATGAAGATTCCTGATTAACACCCACAGGAATCTTGTCAATATTTACTAAAAGCATTAATTAGTGACGCTTTGAATTTTTAATGTGGCCAAATGAGATATCAGGAGACTAGGTCCAATGGGAAGGAACTCTCTCTGTGACACCTCTGAGTGTGTTCAGCAGCTGACAAGCAACATTGCAGACTGTCCATTAAGGAAACATGTCCCAAAACATAAAGAGTAGTGGCACTAAAACGAAAAAAATACACGTTGGCAGAAGTGAAATTAATTCATTTAAAGCTACAGTATGTAACTTTTTTCATACTATTTTTAGTTGAAATACACTCCATAACATGTACAGTTGTTATCAAAGGCTACTGTGACCATGGAAGGATTACTGAATGGCCATAGGCACAGAGGCCCAAGGGGTTAGGGGGCCCATGGGTATTGCTCCCAAACTGCATTTTTCCCCTAAAACAAGTTTTCCAGATGCATTGAGAAAACTTTCCTGAATAATAATAGGGGAACATCAGGGAAACCCTACGCTTCGGGTAACCCAAACCAATATTTATTTGCTGGTTGCTGACATTTCTTAATGGAAAGTTGATCAAAGGACTAGAAAGAGAGGCAAAATGACCTGACGAAAGAAGAAATGAAAACAAAGAATCACAAAATACAAATAGATGTTAAATGAACACAAGGATACACAAAACAGCTACAAACAACATTCCCGCTTTAGTTTGAGTTCTTTGGCTAGGTCCTTGGTAAGGTTAGCTAACACAGTAAAAAGTTATGAAGCTATTAATGAGCCAACTAAAGTACTGGAGCAGCATTTACCTAAAGGACTTTTTGCTACCAGGGTTTGTATACTGTACCCATTTAGTCCAGATAACACTTACTGTATATTTTTTATACTTTGTAAAACATACCTTATTATGCACTACTGAATGTTGGCAAACAGGGACATCAGTGGCAACAGATACACTCTCTATGTTCCATCCACACTTTTGTTTTGGAGGACAGCTTGATTTGTTGTGTTACATTTAAGCCTTGTCAAAGGCAAATATTTAAGTTTAAATACAGCTTCATATAGCTTCATACTTGAGGTCAGACATTTAGGATTCAAGTAAATTTTTTATAGACACTTAAGTTTTATGTTTTTACTTTGGACTTATTTGTATTCATTAAACTTTGACATACTTTGTCTCCATGCAGTGACTCATCATCCCCTCCCCAATGTGATTTCTGACAAACACCCAAAGGAGACATTAATCATATCAGTATTTACTAATAATATAAATGAGTAAAGGTTTGAATATTTAATGCATCTAAATGAGTTATCAGGGGAGTGGGTCATACGCAGGGTTTCTCTCAGTGATACCTCATCAGTATTTCAACAAACTAAAAACAATATTTCCATAACAACAATATCATACCTCATTAGGTGGAAAAGTTAGCAGAAGTCCAACTTTTCCTGACTTGCATCTAAGGCTTTTCTTTTAGTTTTTGCCTGTTTTCCATTTTTTAAGCCTGTGGGGATACATCACATGGCCATTTGCTACAGAACCTAAATTGGGCCTAACCAAATTAAATCTGTTAATCAGACATATCCTCAAACAAAATTCTTTTTACTACTTACTGTTGTTAAACCGAACAATAACTCAAAGCATTACTTCACCCAAATTCTTTCTTTAAAGTGTCAAATCTTCTCTCTCTGTAGACCTATAAAAAGTTTGTAGTTTGCTCTTTTGTGAAGGGCAATGACTATAGTCTGTTTAAATTCCCAATGAATACCATGTATGACTTAGGTAACAACATAAAAATAGTTAATGTGTCAAAGCGTTGATGGATTCTCCCAACATCCATTTTATGATCAAAATGTTCTTTATATTTGGATTTGAATGCAGAGAACTACTACTAATACTTATTTTAAGTAACTTCTGAGTTGAACTTATCAGTTTCTGATAAGCACTCAAACAAACAAATTGCACAACAGTGCTTCCACCCTTTTCTCATTCATTGCTTTGGGCCAGTGGCATGTTTAGGGTCATTCAGGCTTAGTGCCGAATGTAATTTGAGTAAGAAAAAAAAGTTTTCCAGGGCTTGATATTGCTTTGCTGTCGGGCTATAGAAGGTCTGTGTATATTTGTGTTTGGCCTGTGTTTAGAGAGGCAGAGGGTGGTGAGACAATCGGTGTAGGAGCCTTTCAGTGTCATGCATGTAGGTAGAGCTTGGTGTTCACTGATCAGTGCATTGTCACTCAAATTAGCGCTCCAGCTGTGGGTAGAGCGAGTAACAATACTACTCAGGCAAAATGGTGTTTCTGGTGTTAGCTGGTTGGTCATGTACCTACACGAATGCAAACTTTACACCCCCATTTGTCAAAAATATTTAAAAAAAAATATGAGCTTTATTGAGCTAGCCCCATGACTTTGAGTTGGCAGACAGTAGGCAATGGACGACACAAAACAAACCTTAGTCATTAAGAAATTAGTGTAAGACTCAGGTCACTGCATGCATTGTTTGTGCATGCATACAACTTGAATGTTTGTGAATGTGACACATGACAAAAACATGACTACCTATCCACAGGAGAGGAGTTCAACATGATCAGCAGCTGCAGCAGCAGCAGTAACACACAGCTAATGGAGGTGATTACCATAGGTTTCTTGAGTCATAACTCAAATTTGACTAGCTCACACTTACAAGTCTTGCATTTGGAGGAGATAGAATGTCCACAAGTCCAAAACTGCGTTTCACGAGGTCATCGTGATCTTGACCTTTGACCTTTGCCCATCAAATCTAAACAGTTCATCGTAGAGCCTAAGTGAATGTTTGTGCCAAATTTGGAGAAGTTCCATTAAGGCGTTACTGAGATATCGTGTCCATAAGAATGGAACAAATAGACAGACAACCTGAAAACAGTATGCAGGCTCTGGCTGTCGCCGGCATGGAGGCATTAAGAGCCTCCTTGCTATGTCTGAACTTGCCCTGAGAATCATAATTTTTACTTCAATATCACATATAAATAATTCATCAAGCTGTCTGTACATACATTGGCACATACCAAACAGGAACTGTTAACAGCGAAGTTGGTAAACTAAATAAAGCAGGACTCAAATTGTAGTCAACAGTGTAACTAATTAACTATGAAAACCTTATACATCCTATTTCTATTTCCAATTTTCCTTCCACTTTTAATGCTTAATGTGACATCATCCAAAAAACTCTATACGGAAACCAAATCATTTAGGTATACTGGTTTGGCTGAGTGATTGGGCTAGTTTTTGTCATTCAAACCTGCAAAACTGCTTAGCGTTGATATCAAATTATACTCCCTGTACTAAATATATTACTTACTGTATTTCATGTAAAGATAAAAATTTGGATGTCTTTTTTGTTAAATTAAGTTAAAGCCAAACATAAAGAAAGTAAGGAATAGAAGAATTGAAAGCAGTGAAAATAATTAAGTGTTAAGAGGTTGGTAGAGATTACGTCTCTCATTTCTAATTAAAGGAACATGAGATGTAATGCTGCCCTAAGACAAAGTATATATATCATACCCTGCAGGAAATAAACAGCACTGAGCTCTGTGCTTGTTGAAACAAACATGGCCTCTAACTTCCTGACTTGACTGCTCAACATTGATTGATAATATGGGGTTCTGCAAAAACCTAACAGTTGTGGTAATGGATGTTTTGTTAACTTCTTTACTGTGATGAACATGTGTTATACTGCTTAATAGTGCAACTACAGCAAAGCCAAAGGAGCCTTTTTTTCTTCACATATCATTCTGTAATGTCTTTGCTGAAGCCTCAGGCCAATATCACTGTTAGTCTGCAGTATCAAACATCACAAGAAATAATGTTGTTTGGCATGTTATCCATGGGGTCAAGCTTCTGTTTCCTCTACATTAACAGTGTTTTGCTGTTTACCTTAAGGAGTAAGCAGGTGTTTTGTGAGACATCCTGTTACATCTTGTTGTACAACTTACTCTTTGCAGACACTGCTCACCTGTTATCAAACCTGCTGCTTTACTTACTGGCGTCTTTGCGTATAAGAATCACATATTATGCATGTGGTGCCCTTGTTCTGTTCTCAGTTTTCACAGCTACAATCTCCCCTCTCACCCTGGCTGTGATGTCACTTGAGAGATATGTGGCTGTATGCTATCCACTGAGGCATGCAACCATCTTCACCATGAGAAGCACAGGCATGGCCATTGCTCTAGTGTGGGCCTTCAGTTTTATTCATATCCTCATTCGATTGTTTATGCTGTTATATGTGTTCACAAAAATCTACCTAAATCTGCATATAAATGATTTTTGCTCTAAAGAAGCCATTTTTTTTGCACCAATCTTTGATGATTTTGAAGATGCGTATGCTAACACTGTCTTTATATCAGTGGGTGTAGCAATTATTGCCTCCTACACTGGTGTTGCACTTGTTGTAAGGTCTGCCTCAACGGACAAAGCCTCAGCCAGAAAGGCTCTTCACACGCTTCTGCTTCACCTGATTCAGCTAAGCCTGATTCTCATCTCCACCTTGTTCTCCATCATCATTGTAGACATTGCTAGAACAGTCGGGAGATTATCCCTAATGCGGGTTTACAATGTATGCTTTGTGTGCTTGAGTATCCTTCCAAGGTGTCTGAGTGCTCTCATCTATGGACTCAGGGATCAAACTATCAGACCAGTCCTCATGCAAAATCTGTGCTGTGGATGGAGATGCTCAGTTTTTCTCAATAAGAGCCAGTGACAATTTCTAATACTTTTAAATGCACACTCCACTGCACAAAGCAATTACAAAACGTGTGTTTTCTGAACATGAGTACCCAATACTCAAGAATGTTGCTACATATTCAAGATGACAATAATAATACAGATCTGTGTTTATGTACTATTTTGACAAGACTGGAAGAAAAGATGTAATTAAATATGCATTTCTTCAATGTTGCTTAATTATTCATGAAATAAATCTGATCACGTTTATGTGCAGCTCTTGTATATTATCACGGTAGTTCAGTGATTTTTTTCATGAGCTGTCCTCAGACACTTATGATCATGAGAAGCAAACAGTGAAACTGTCTAGACGAAAAGGGACACATGAAATTTTGTAAGATGTACAAATATCTTCAAATATTCTTTGTTTTTAAATTGAATAAGATATGAACAATATAGTGATGTAGCAGGTAGTCTGAGTTATTTTAAATGAATCACTCTACACACAGTGTTTCAAAAAGAAATCGTATATAAGAGCAGTTTGTACCAGACTACATGTTATACATTCTCAGACACATGTAAACACTGAAAACACTCAAACAAACACACACACGCACGTGCACACACACACTCACACATACAGTCATGTTTGTGTTTGTTCTCACTCACATCATAAAAAGACATGTTTGCAATAATGCACCAGTCATAATGTTGACAGTGGGCCTGTCACAGCATATTAATTCATTATTATCAAATTAAGTGTGATTTGATATACTCTATTTCATACTTTCTTGTTCCAAAAAGGGCATTGTGTCGTTACATTACCTGACCTACAAACTTTATTTTGTTCATGTTCCTTTTGCACACTGAAATACTCATATTCTCTAATAAACATTTGAAACCTTGAAATGTGTCAGTTGGATAAGTAATCCTATTCATAATCATCTACTTATTATTGCTGCAGTGAATACAGGTGTATCTCATGTTAGTCCACTTATAGTGACGTTTGGCAAGTTGTGTAATAATTAAATAATAAAGCTTTAAAACAAACTGCAAATTACAAAGTGACAGTTATTTATTGATGAAAAGCCAAATTAAACAGCTGTGGGTGAGGGTTTTTGGGGCACAGGAAGTCACCACCAAACACAAACCATTCAATAGCTAAAGAAATTTGCAAAGCAGTGCTTGTCCATCCACTATCCCTGTGTGGGTGTTTTCAGCTGCAGGACTAGCTACTATGAGCAAACAGTGCTGAATGAACCCTGTTCATGTAGCTAATACCACACTTTGATAAGTGTGGCATTGTGTGTTAAATAAAACTATTGTGAATGAAGTCTGTTGTCCATAGATCAGTGTATCTGATTGAGAGTTTAAGTAGAAATTAATTGTTTGCTGTTGAAGGCTACAGCCACACCACTCCCGTGACAACCTACACATCTGTTGAAGGCGGTGACAAGTGATGATGTCACATAAAGTAAGTGTGAGGACAGAGCTCATATATTGTAAGTGAGGACAGCCAAACCCTGCAGACCAGCTCTGCCCACATGGAAACAAGCCGCTACCCTGTAACTGTATGCACAGGGAAAAAGTATGTTGACTATTTTAGATTTCGAATGTGAACTCAGTGGCCATCTTGACCCTGAAGATGAGATGCTGTCACAGTTAAAAATGAACTGGATCTATCTAAACCTATTTTGCTATTGGGCTCCAATTTTAATGAACAGGTTTTTGATGTATTTAATACTTATCTAATATGATGGACACAAATCAGTCTCAGATGAACATCACTGTTGGGCTGCAATATCAGGGATTACTGGGAATAGTGTTGTTTTTCATTCAGACAGCAGTTCCATCCTGTATCTTTCTCTTCATTAATGGGACGTTGTTATTCACCTTGAGGAGTAAACCAGTGTTTCGTGAGACCTCTCGGTACATTCTACTGTATAACCTCCTTTTTGCAGACACTGTATTGCTAACAAACAGTCAGTTACTGTACATAATCGCTGCTTGTAGAATAAGACTCACATATCCTGTGTGTGGTGCTGCACTCATGCTCAGCCATCTTACGACTGTTATTTCTCCTCTCACACTGGTGGTGATGTCTCTGGAGAGATATGCAGCCGTGTGCTACCCACTGAGGCATGCTACCATTATTACCATCAAAAACACAGGGGTGGCTATCATTGTGGTTTGGGCCTTCAGTTCACTAAGTGTTATCGTTCGAGTTTTTCTAATATTAAGCTTTCCATTTGCAGAGCTGGAGAACCTGCAGATGAAAGACTTTTGTGGAAAAGAAAGCATATTACTTGATCCAAGGTCTGATATTTATGAAAAAACATTCACTTATTTTCTGTTTGCTTCAGCTGGTGTGACAGTCACTTGGTCCTATATCGGTGTAATGTTAGCAGCCAGGTCAGCCTCTACAGACAAAGCTTCAGCCAAAAAGGCTCGTAACACGCTGCTGCTGCATCTGGTGCAGCTGGGCCTTAGTATCTCATCGACTATACACAACCCATTGCTCTTCTCTATTCCCAAAAGCCTAGATAGGGTCACAACTGTACGTATCCAGATAGTTATTTATCTGTGTATTATCATCCTGCCTAGATGCCTGAGTGGCCTCATATATGGTCTCAGAGATCAGACCATCAGACCTGTCTTCATGCATCTCTGCTGTCAGTGGAAACGCTCACCTTCTCTTTCAGATGTCCCAACCAAGGATAAAGTTTAAAGGCATACTTGTCACTTAATGTGATTTCTCAACCAACCTCCATTTAATCAACTTAGAAGATAATACAAAGTGTGTAGATTTCATTGTCAAAAGTCAACTGTGATGTGTTGATGTCATTTATGATCTTTTATATAAATTCCTACTGTAGACTAAAACAGTGAAATAAAGTAACATGACTTGCAGCAATAACCCTGTCTTTTTGAATTATGTATGGTCATAACAACATTTATTTATATTTTTACTTTTATTAGTCCATACTGTGATGTAAGCTGTAAATACAAGTCAGAGTCAAAGCACACCAAATTACCCAATATGGCTGTTTACCCAACCTATACCTCATTTTGACATTGTCAATCTTCTGTATGAACCTTGCCTCACTTCCTGATTGCAGACATTTGGAACACAACCTTGAGAATGGGGCTTATTAGATGGCACATTGCAAAAATGTCCAACACGTCATTTCTTAATGGCACAAAAAACAAGGTGCTTAGGAGCCATTGGGCATTCCAAACAGGAATGAATAGCTGAATAGCTGTAGTGTGACTATTTTTGTCCAAGTGAAAATTGAGAACCTCAATTTTTTTATGCAAGAAATTTGATTAAGCAGAAAGGGAAGTTAAACACAGGATATACAAAAATTCTGTCAATGTAACATATGATATCTGATTTCTTACGACAACTTTTTTATCGTTAATAGTTGGACACTTACACTTACCAGTCTTACCTTCAAGACATGGATGACATGATGGCATTGGTGAGGAAATTGGAATATTGTGGTAGAGGAATTACATCATCAATTACATGTTACACATGTTTACATGTGATGGTGTCACATGAACTGGGGGTGAGGACTGAGCTCATAAAGTCTGTGACGGTCAGCAAATTCTGCAGCACTACCTGTACTGAAACAGTCACTGCCTCCAACCTTCTGTCTGCACAGGAGAAATGTGTGGGAATAATTCCAGTTTATGCTTGTGAACTCACAAGACCTCCCTAGTCTTCTGATGATTGAATGAGAGTAAGGACTCTTAGTGCTAAAGGAATTTAAGCTGAAGAATGATTGTGTTTTTGCACTGCAATTACCACAACGGGTTAATATTTGTAGTTCATTTGATGCTTCTCTATAATGTATGCAATTCAGTCTCAGACCAACATCACTGTTGAACTGCAGTATCA